CTATGGAACTTGCAACAATAACGTTTGTCGTGCAAATACACTTTTAAAAACAGCAGACCACAACCGGAATAAAATGAAGCCAAAAATATTCCATGCTAGGACTGAGTGATCGGAAAAATATATCCGTTTATATCGCATATAGTCCAAAGCCGGGTTTTTAAGCACTTTCTTGCTCCTTTTTGGTTGGTGGGTGGGGCTGGGCATATTATGCTAACATAATGGACCAGGAAGCGATCAACCTTTCTACTATCCAATGATTCCTCTGAGCTTTGAGGAGTGCCAGCAGATATCCAGGCCAACGCTTATTCTATTAAACACTGACGAGCATTTTCAAATTTAGATTCAAATTACTGTCCAATAAAAGCCAGCAGTTTTCAGTTTGCACTTCGGCGATGCGTTCCCTTTTTCCGCTCTTCACATCCTGCATGCAAAAGCCAAAAGCTTCAGGTTGTGATTCTGCATAATTACAAGCAGAAATCTTTTTTTAAATGGAGACATATTAGACTAAATCGAAGCTCAATTCATACTGTACATGTATAGGAAAACATTTCACAAAACACTAAACACTTTTGCCATTTTTAGGTGGCTGCTGTTGAATTGATTGGCACTGAATAAAAACCATCTATATTATTCAATCAAATTAAACAAGTAGACCAAAAACTACATGTACAGTTGGGCAACCTAATCAATTAGCAAGCAGGTTATCCTGCTGTTTGTACCGCGTGGACGCACGTCATCTTACTGCTTAGTTTAGATCCTTTGGTTTGTCCGGTTGAACCGTCTGAGGTTTAAATTGTCATTATTGGACCTTAATCTAACCTTAACTCCAACTCCAGGCAATCAGAGTATTTTTCTCCCAAGATTTGGAAAACTGGGAACAAAGAAACTAATCATTCTGGCTGACAACAGAAAAGCCAGTTTTGCCTCGCTCATAAATATACGGTTAGAGCTATCACGTATGATGACGTACACCTTAGAGAGTTACAACCATAAACCCAAATAGCGGATTCTTCTTTTCCTCAAATATCTCTTTTATGATTGCAAACAGATATTATAGCAATGCAGTAGTTGGACTGACGGTGGCCCGGTTGGACAGTTTCAACATATCGCCCAACCCTGTTTCACACATTCAAAAGCAATGAGCAACATCTAGTTGCTCGATAACTACAGTACAAGAGGATTTGCCTTTTTTAAAATTTTTGTTTTATTTTTTCAGGCATCAATGTTGATCTTATGATTCCTTCAAGAGTTCTCCATCGCAATGTTCGGTCTCAAGAATAAAATTAGTTTTCTTTGGAGCTCTGATAAGGATTGCTCTTCTTTCTCTTAAAACAGAACTTGCAGTGGAGAAGCTTCTTCTGCAGGTGTCCAGGCTCTGTAATTTAGTTTCTGTGTGCGCGAGTGAAATCCAGCCTCATCTAAACTTGAGGTAGGCTGGTACAGAGTAATTGAAGAGCAGGAAGTCCATGCGATAGAGATTATACAGCTTCTTCTGATAAAAAGGGCTGATGTTGTGGAAGAACTGGGCAGCCATGTCTCCTGTAGTCCTGGTGCTCTTGGACGAGGCGGGGAAGCTGACCTGGTCCTCCACCCCGGCCAGCTGCAGCACGTAGCGGGAGTCCTGCTCCAGCGTCTCGTATTTCCCCACCACGTCATAGTGGATGAGGCAGGGGTGGCACAGTGAGTGCACCCGCTCCCAGTGCTCGTTGAAGGGCTCTTCTCGCTGGGTGGCTGGGTCCACGAGGTAATAGACAAACTCCTCAAAGGAGACGTCATTTCCTTTCTCCAGAGCTTCCGGCTGCGGGTCCGGCCTGTGCTGCCGCACTATCTTTGTGCCGTATCGTTTATGGAAGGCTGTGTTGTAGCTCCGTGTGAATTTGTTGCGGTACGCAGACACCAGCCGCTCAAAGGGCTCGCGCACGAAGACGAACTTCAGGTATGAGCGCAGCCGCTGATTGATCTGGGAGGTGGAGTACTCAGAAAGTGTGCGGAGGTTTCCGGGGATGTGGGCCTCGTTGGCAGGGATTGCGAGAGGGTCTCTGTTGGACCCGGCAACGCCCGTCAGAACCATGAGCACCCGCTTCCAGTTGGTGCAGGCCACTTTGGGCACGTAGCAGTAGAGCAAGCCGTGCTGGTCGTCCACGATGATGTGCTTCAGGTCCTCGGGGATGAGGACTCTGCGTTTGCGGGTATAGGAGCGACAAGCTTCTTCCAGCAGCTCCCGTCTGCCCTGATGGATCGCCTGTACCGCCGACTCAACCTACAGGGATGAGAGGAATCGCAGAGAATTGGCATTTAGTAATAAAAGAAAAACCTGAGTTACAATTTATACGAGTTTTTCAGGTCAGTTTATGGCACCGATTGTAAGTTATGATGATAGAAGTTACCAGAAGAAATTTTTACCTCTTCATGGTAAACTCTGCTGTTGCTCTTTTCCCTGTTCAAGCCAACTTTCAGCATCTGTCCTATTAATAGCTACACTGCTGGTTTTGGGGAGGAGTGCATGTAAATGTACCTCCACAGGCTCTTTGATGGTTCATGTCCCACAACTCCTCAGGTATCAGTGCAGGACTTGCATGGCATTAAACCCAAGGAAAAGTGATTTAAAGTTGGGACAGTTTAAGTTATAATGTGACGAATGGGAGAATCTGGCCTTCCTGAGAGGACTCCACTGATTCAGCAGCACTGCCTACATTGCCAATGTTCCCTTCGTCCAATTTTTAAGGAATGTTGAACAATGCAGGTAGGACAGAACTTTGCAGCTTCAAACAGATCCAATAAGCTCGCTTCCTTCCAGTGCAACACCCCCTAATTTTTCCCCACTTTCACCTTCAGCAACTCAGTGTTGCTTAAGGACATTTAGCAGATTTTGTGCAGCGCCATCCGAGGCTGAAAAAGGCTCTTCTCACTCCACCCTTATGATGATATACGGACGCCGCTTACAGCCTTTTGAATGAGAGAAAATGCACTCACAGATTTATCTCCTCTGTTGGTCTTAATTATGGCCCATCCCCAACTTTAATCAAGTCACAGGTCATCCAGTTCAGCTTGGCCTCTGCGTGGCACAAATGTCTTATTTACTCCTTTCATTTACTCAGCCTGGCATCCCACTGCAGTGGTTGGAGCCCCCAGACTCATCTTGACTCTGCGCCTGACCCTCTGTGTTTAGCGGCAGACACCTGAACGACTGCAGAGCCAACACAGACCCTTCCTCTCAGCAGAGGTTTGTGCACTGTGGTTACACAATAGTGCGTTTGAAACTCCTGTTTCAGTCTTTTCATGTGAGCAGGATGCATGAGTTCATAGTTTGAGGATATTAACTGCTGTTAGTGTTTCATGGCATTCAAACCTTCAAAGAACACCAAAGTCTTCTTAAGTGTGCTGAACACTTTAACATTTAATCAGTGGAGCGAGCAGCAGCTAGTGGAAGTGACAATTTGCTGTGTGGAAACATTCATTAAAGATATCGTGTTTTGATCTATTTGTAGAAATTTCATCTGGACTAATCAAAACTGATTTTCAGATATCTGTGTTTTCACACTTGGGGAAATAATTATTTGAATCCCTGCTGAATTTTTTCCATTCAAAGAAATGAACAGTCTTAAATTTTTACGGTAGTCTCATCAACTGAAATGTTATCCCCTATCACCCAGCCTGAATACTGGCTTTCACAGACTGGCTGCGGGCTTATGTGGCACACAAGCGATTACAAATACTCCTGATCTCAACTCATTATGTATATAAACCACACATTCTTCATTTCCAACCTGCCACCATCATGAGCAAGAGCACAGAGCTGTCAAAGGACGTCAGGGACCAGACTGTAGCCCTGCGCAAGGCTGGACTGGGCTGCAAGACCATCAGTCAGCCAGAAGCTTGGTGAGACGGTGACAGCTGTTGGTGCAATTATAAAATGGCCATTAGTCGGCCTCAGACTTTCCTGCCAGTTTTTAAAAGGGGTCTCGAGCAATAATTATCCAGATTTTGTGGAGGTCTTTCAAAGATTTTTTTTGGACATTGGCTGCTTTTTCACTCAAGTTTAGTCCAGTCTTTGTACCTGACCATTTTTAGAAGAATTCTGCTCGTTTTGGGTTTGTTAACCCACTTCACTAAAGTATAAAAAGGCGCCTTACTCAAGTCAACCAATGTTGTATCTACACAGACGACTTACAATTTAAATCTTAGTTCCTTGGTATCTTTAAGCACTTTGTTACAAGCAGCGCATCACAAAAACTTAACAGTTTGAAAAGAGGATTTTTGCACCCAAAAAAGTGACAGCAAAGAGTCTTACAACTTTCTTACAAGTTGTAAGCAATGGTTGCACCCAATTCTTAATCGTATTGCTCAGTTTCTTCCAGTCGCCAGGTTGTCAGCTATTCCGCTACATGTAGCTTTTCACCCAGTTACCTGCTGCACATGTGCAGAGAGCAACAAATGGAGACAGAATCAGTCGCCCATTGTGTTTACAGAATTAAACAATTAAATAAATCTGCCTCACATTAATCAAGCTCACTCCAGCATCCTGCTGCTGCTAAACAGTTTAAGTGGAAATGGAACAGTGAAAATATGACATCAATTGGAAGCGAGTGGACCGGACTCCACTGGAGCTAGTTTGTTTTCTGGCATGTGCACCGTCCTTCTCCTCACAGGGAGATTTAACTGGAACCAGCTGTAAGATTTGCTTTAATAGCAGAGCCCAGATCATGAACGCTGAACGTCTGCGTAGAGGAAAGTGGTCATTCAGAGCCCCGCCCACGGGTGTTTACCTGAGAAAGCCTCCTCAAAAAGCAAATACTGAATTGAACTCAATAATGGCAGCTGTTTCCAAAGAACAAACTGATAGATAAAAATTACGCTGAGTCATCGCTGTTTAATGTCAAGTGAGCTTGAGTCAAAACAAAGCGGGGATGAAAGTGTGTGTTCAGATATGTCAACACCCAGTGAGGCAATGGTTGTGTACAGCTGTTATACGCAACTCATAACTAGAGTGGAAATGAAAGGCTGCACATGGACATGTTTCTGTCTAATACTAAGCTGCAGACAGTAAACCTGCTAACGACCGAAAAAGTGATATTTTTGTATTTCCTGATAAAGGGCGGCTCCTGTTACTGCTTTTAGCTTCATGTAACCTGTGCATGGATGAAAAGCAGTCAGACGCATCTCTAAATATAAAACTCTTAACTGCCTGACAGTATCTGTACAAAGTCGTGAATCCTCCTCTATAAATGTCGTGTCTTTAATTCCACAAAAATGGCCGACCTTTATTTCTCCTCCTTTACTGCTCAGATGGGAGTGCATCAAAGTATTTCTCCTTGACATGAAAAATATCACTATCAAGACTTCACAAATTTCCGGGGAGATTTGTCTCTTAGACATTTTGTTACAAAGAGCAGGTATTACTTTCCTTTAGATGCAGCTAAAGCAGATTTATGAGGACTGGAGCAAAACGTGGACTGAACTGCTGAATTAAGTGGAGGTGGCTCTTCTATGTTCAGCCATGCGTTTATGAAGTGGCTGTTTGGTCTCTCCGATGTAGAGGTCTGAGCATTCCTCGCCACACTGCACAGCATACACTACGATGTTAAGTTTGTGCTTAGGAGTTTTGTCTTTGGGATGAACCAGTTTTTGTCTGAGTGTGTGGCTGGGTCTGAAGTACACGGGGATGTCGTGATTGGAGAAAACTCTCCTGAGTTTCTCTGATAAATCTGGTACATAGAGGATGACAGTATTGTTCTGATTGTCTCTCTGACTCTCCGCTAGCTGGTGGTGTATCCGGTCGTTAAGTGATGACGTGACGAATCCTACTTCCGGGCCTAAAGTAGTCTGCGTTTAATATGGCTTTTGTGTTGTTAACATGTTTAATGTTATGCATTTTCTTATATTTGATCTCAAAAAGCTCCTAAAACAGTCAGTGATCACTGTTGACCTCCCTCGGCTTTTATTACCGCTAATCATTTATTTAAGCTCAGTTTTTAAAACCTTAGGATGTAACTACAGCCCAGCCCATGCAGCAGTATATGAATGACTAACCTCGTATTGTGGATGGATTATCTCAGTTGTTCTCCTGGCTGAAGTTTGGTCCTTTTACAGCATCCTGCCATGCAATTACATTTGTTCCTGACCACCGAGAACACTCACGTTAACTTTTATCGAGTGGAAAAAAAAGCTTGTTTATATTATGCTAACATAGCTGTGTCGCTAGCGGTCACGTAGCACATCATTATATACCAGCTAGCCAAACTTCAGTAACCCTACAAACGTCACTGCTTTTTAGTTTTCTGTCTTCATTTATGCTGGAAGTGATAACAGAGCTGTACGTTTTAATTTGTTTCCAAAACCCCGCAGTCAGGACATGCTATATTGTATTTAGATAGAAGCTAGCGAGCTAACTTCCTGCTAACTTCTAACTCCGTTAAATGTCATAAATTCCGTTTTCATGGATGCCTGGATGTTAAACTCAATTGTTACACCTGGTAGAGCAGAACGCTGATCATTTTATTAAAGATGAAAGACTTTAGACAGTTTTTCAACTCTGAGTAATGCCACAGTGATCGTTTGATATATGGACCTGCAGCGGAGTTTAGGCCCAGACACAGCTAGTGACGTCAGACTGAACGACCGCATAGGGGGGGTCCATGACCCACTTGGGAACACTCCCATAGGGTTTAAAAACTGGGACTCTCCACCAGTTGCTCTTCAAACTGAAGAAACTTCTCAGATGAGAGGTGAAACATCTTCAAGGAAACTTAAAGAAGTCCAGACGCTTTTCTTTCCAAGCTCCTTAAAAACCTCTGGTTTTTTTCCCTATCAGCCATGGATCGGCCTCCCCAAAGCACGGACCTCAACATGACTGAATCAGTGTGGGATCATCATGACCGAGCACAGAACGAAAAGCAGCCAACATCCAGAGAAGAGCTTTTGAGTGTCTTTCAAGAAGCCTGCAGAACTATTTCTGAAGTCTAGTCAGTTCTAAGAAAGCATTCATTAGCGTTCCAGCTGTTCTGAAGAATAAAGGCGGTCACACCAAATGTGAACTTTCAAGCTTGTTAGAATTGTACAAAGTCTGTTTTTACCGTTACACTGCATTTCCATGTATGTTTGCATGTTTCAGTAAATCACTCCACCTACTTCTTTTTTCCCCCAAGCAAAGTATAAACAATTGTGACTCAAGAGTTTTGGACACTGATTTATTTATGCCAACAAACTTCAGGAGGACTGAATTTCCACAGCTAGAAGATTATTATTAAATATTAAAAATGAGACCCTGTTTGTCATTAAACACTCGGCCTATCCTGTCTGGTTATGTGTGCTCTCTTTCATTCAAACATAGAACGTTCCAGAAACACAAAGAATCATAAAATCACAAAATGACTATTTATCATAACCTTTGCCAAGTTTGTTAAAATAACCCCGAGTAATCCTGGAATAAATCCTTACAAATAAATATTTAAAGTGCACATGACGTTAGACTGACCTGATCGCCATCGTACAGCGTCTGTAGAGGACTCCTCCTCGACTTCTGTCTGCTGCCGCTTTCACCCACCGCCTCTGAGGCTGAGGAAAAAGCACATCGGTTATGGAGCAGTCACCGCTGAATTATCACTAATAATGCTTTTGTGAATGTGTGTCATCACGCCCAAATGTGGTCCTGTGACCCTGACTGTGGTAGTTTGGCTGGTGTTCATATTTCTGTGGACACATTTTAAAGAAAATATGCACGATACATTTGCAAACTGTCAACATGAGATGAGTTAGAAGGGGGACGGTGTCCATCCCATGATTACCAATCAGTCGCTGACTTCGCGCTTTTATTGAAGTTTAACATGCTGCAGCCTGAAGGGGCGTGAGCTTACTGCAGGGTTTCAGAGAGGAACAAAGGCCGAGGATAAAGAGGTGCAGCGCAATTATTTTATTTGATCATTCACTGAATTACTGAATGCCAAAATTATAATTAGCCAAATATCCTCAAGCAAGATACTGAACCCAAGCAGTACACAAGAATCAGCTCATTTACTATTTAACTACTACTGTTGGTGTTAACTACCATTATCATAAATAATAATACAGTGTGGTATATCATTAGACAGATAAAACAGGAGAATAAAGTGCACTGTAGAACATTAACACAAACTGAGCACAAAAACGTTGCACTGAAACAATAAAGTAAACTTTCATGGTTTGTTATCGCTGCTTTTATTTGCTCGAGTGCTTTAGAAACGGAACAAGAGTTTTGGCCGGGCAGAACATTTCATTTTCCACGTTATGTCAGACTCAAGTTTGAAAGGAAGGATAAAAGGACCTTATTTATGTCCTTTGGCTTAGAGCCATCATTTGTTTCCTTCCAGATATTGGACATGTATAGAGTTTCACCACATGATCCTCAGATTTAATCTGGGTAAAGGTAGTCGATCTGTTCCTCCTAAAAGCTGCAGGCCTTCGTTGGAGAAAAAAAAGAAAGATGCAAAGGCGTGCGGCCTGGTTTGAAAAGGCAGTGGTTGCTTCACTCAAACAGTTTCATCATAGTTAGAAAAATGAAAACGAGCTCTCAGAACAACATCTACCATCAAGTATTCTGCACTCCAACCTGCCTGCAGTGAAAGCAGAGATGAGCACCACGCTGCTGAACCATGACTCGCTGACACAACAGGGAGCAGCAGGACTCCAAGACACTGCGAACATCCCCACAGGAGCACAGCTTATTTGATTTACAGAACAAGCTCATCACATCGTACACTTTCCGGCCACAGATGTAAGGTTACAATCAACACTCACGAGACTGAGTTACTGAGAGAGACACTTCCATCTGATCTGCATGCATGTTGTGGACGTAGTCACTTTCTATAAAAGCCATATCTTCACTCCATCTGCAGCGTAGTGTGGAGGTTATTTGTTTTTTCCTCAGAGATAAACATAGATAGCCCCGCTTCATCAGATGTTCTTTTATGAAAAACACACACTCCCTAAATGAAACGCAGATGTATTCTGGTGTGTTTAGCCAGTAAGTGTTAGCTTGAAGATAAAACTGCAATCTGTCCCCTTCTTCAGATGAGACGAGTCATTTTAGTGTTTTAAATTATGAAGTTAGCCAGGAGGCACTTCGTTAGAGCAGCGGTCCCCAACCTTTTTTGCGCCATGGACCGGTTTATACACAACAATATTTTCACGGACCGGCCTTTAAGATGTCGCGGATAAATACAACAAAATAAAACTAGTACTGGTACCGAAAAAAAGAAGATTTATTCATAACACATGTGAAAAGACTCAGGAAAACCGAGTTAACGATAAAAACGATAACAAAATAAAGCTGAAAACTGATAAAAACCATACATTTCACACCCGAGCCTCAACTCTCGCGACTCTTTTAGCGTGCGTGTCGATTCCAGGAAGAATAATCCCTGCAATTAGTGATCCCTTTCTACACAAGTTAGACCTTGCTTCAATTCATGAACTTCCCAGTATGTTTGACGATTCAAGGAATTCAAGTATTCAAATACACACACACACACACACACACACACACACACACACACACACACACACACACACACACACACACACACACACGAAATTTCCATATTTTCACTAACAAATGTTCACCCCTTGCTGCTCAGGAGGTTCAAGCGATACAGGCAATAATCCATTGAAACTCATTCAGAAAACTCCATAAATGTTCTTCTGTATTGCTGCCATTTAAATTTAACTTGACTCATATTTCTGAAACCGGAACTCTTCTTGCTCCATAACCACAATGTGAAGAAAAATATCACATTAACTGTTTAATGATTACATCCATTTTCACAAACTCCCCCAGTTTTAGAGGCTCGAAATTCACTGACAAGCAGTCCAACAGCCAGGTTCCCTCATTATCGACAGCAAACTAAGCAGATAAAAGTCGTACTTGAACTTGTTTCAAGTGTTACACAGAAGCAGTTCACTGGACCACTATGAGGTCCAAAGAGGCTCAGGTTCAGACAAATGCTCCGAAACTGTTCAGACGGTGTATAACAATGCAAACGGATCATAACCCAAATCTCAGGGCAAAGAACAGAGTCGCTCACCTAACATCAGCCCAGCATGCTTTTCACTTACTGAGACCAAAAGTGAACAGCAAACCTCAAAGAAGGAAGCATGTGATGATGTCCACAGGTGCTGGACTGCAGGGATACCTGTCACTTTCAACAAATGAAAAAGGGGGATTATTTATAAAGTTCGGAATGAATAAAGTCTGTCCCTTCAATTAACATCTTCATCATTTGATTTAAAAAAAAAAAAAAAAAAAAAAAAAAAAAAAAAAAATCCACTTTAGGATTTGGTTCTTTTGTCTTGAAGCCACTGGCTCATGGCTAAACTCAAGTTTAAACACATAACTTCCTGTTAGAGACGTGCTCTTCACAGCGCATCAACAATGAAATGACATCAGTTTGCTCACAGAGACAAGGCCAGGCTGCTTTTCACTGGAGTAAACATCTGCAAGCAGCTGTGTGGCTCCAAGTCCAGATTGAGCAGTGCAACTCAGCACTAACTGCCCATTGAACAAATGACTTCCTGTGCTGTGCCATTATTCAAATGGAAGTATGCACAAACGCCTTATGTACAAGTCTGCCTTTTATGCAGTCATTACGCTCCAAACTTGCACGAACAGCAACATTTGTCATCTGGAGACAATTAGATTTACAAAAGCTCAGGATTTGTTACTAATTAGCTGCTTTAATTGGAGACAATGATGCTGTAATGGTGGAAACTGCACAGGCCCAACACTATTGAGCACAGGCTACTGTGAGACTCAAGTGACCACATGTGTGCACCTCTCTCCTCCCTGTGGTGTGGTCAGGTCACTCATGGCAAACTGGTTATGAGCTGTAAACACGCTCACTGCAGGCAGCCCAGCATGCAGTAATGAGCATACTACACAGAATCATTGAGAATACCTGCGAGAGACACACAGTCGATCATACAACTGAAATCACAGGTCTTTACTAGCTTCTAACAGCAGGTGAGAGTAACTAGAGAAATGCTGAAGCTGTGCAACAGTATTGTATAAAGATCATATATCAGTGCCGGTCTTATTTCAGACACTCCATCCCCATGTACTTATTAACATAATGTATGAATCTGGTCAGCGTAGCGTTGTCTATAGCAAGCATGCCAGGTGCAGTTACTGATAAGGAGGACTGCAACAGTAGACCGTGACTGTTGCATCAGCCGCCTCATTTTGCAATCTTTTACAACTGGCCAGCATTCTCACCACACATTAAGGCTGCACAGTTAATGGAATTTTAATCTTGATTTTAGCTTCCCACAGTTAAATGAACACGATCACATATTTAAAATATGTGCTCAGCCAATAGAATGCAAAGCAAAAGGCAAATCAGGAGCTCCGACTGCATGCCAGCATGTGACAGTCACAGCCGTTCTGAAGTGTCCTGGACTAGTAAGACTACGTTCAAAGATATACAACAGAATTCAAATGTCTGCCACACTCATGCCTCGAAGTGGATCATCATCATCCATTTTTCAGAAATACTCTTAAGCAATCAGCTGGCTGAAAAAACAAAACAACAAAACAAAACAAAAAACACCAAAAACTGCAGTTCTAAATAAAACTCGGCCAAAACAAACAAACAGACAAACAAAAAACAAAAAAAACATGGCTGCTGACGTGAACTGTCCAACATCAGCTCCATAAAAGTCCATTAAAGCGAGCATGCATACTGTGCATCAGCGCTCACAAAGGTGCACTGACGTCACCAAAATCTTTGCCAAAGATTCACTCAAACCAAGTGAATGAACACCAATACTGACTAACAAGTGATCAAAATGATCACTTTGACCATAATCGTTCAGCCCTACCACAGATATAGCACTAAATGTTAATGTTCAGTTCAATAAAAATATAAGCTGCTCAGTGTTAGCTTGCACTGGCTTCTACCCAGATAGCAACCATTAAAACAGTTTACAGTGTTTCCCACTTAACTTGAATGCACCTAATTTAGAGGCAAAATTCCCAGTCTGGCTGCAACTAAAGTTATTCAGGACCAATTTATAAAAGCTAAAAAAGGGATGCATTGCATTTCGTTCTTTTGCACTCTCTCTTAAAAAACTGTGTGGAATGACCCATGGAACTTAAACAAAGCAGCCATTTCCCCAAAACACCTATAAAAACTGCACTTATTTTGCTAAAGTGAGTTCTGTTTTCAGTCAAATTTGGTCAATGTCAACAAATCTGCACGTGGTCTTCTGTCCAGTCTTTGAAGCACAGTTTCCCTGAATTCGGACAGGACAGCATTGGCTCATATCAAACTTGGTACTTTGTGGATTTACTGATAAGCAGGATTTCAACAGTTGAACATGACTGTTGTGTTAGCGTCACATTTTACAATCGTTTACACTTTGACTTACACTTTGACCACATGTGATAATTTATCACTCATAAACACAAATAACCACTACAACCCCATATAAAGCCAGTGCCTGACACACACTACATTCAGTTAGCTAGCATTGGTACTGCTGTCAGTACTGACAAATTATTCTGATTCTTCCAGCTGAAAACG